TCTATTTCCATCTTTTTCTGTTCTGTTTTTGTATTAGACCTAACCCAACATAACCTCTCCCTCATATTTAAGTATTTGAACACAACATGTACATTTACCTTTAAATGCTAAATCACACTCTTTAAGTTGTATAAGGAACTCACACACACACATTTACACACTAATCCTGACCCTTATTACAAAATTGAATTGGAGCATTATTCTTCAACTTTAAACTGCCCTCTCAGTCGAACCTACAAAATGACCTAACGAGGAAAGTCTGTCCCCACAACAAAAGTAATTTCCCCCCAAAATTGTCCCATGAGGTATAGCTATACCCAGAACACCCCCCCCCACACACACACACACACCGACGATCTAAGATCAAACATCTGTGTGTTTTATCAGGTGGTGGGACAGACGGAGTGTTTTACTCTGGAGTGTGAAAACCCTACGACAGTCAGAGAGACACTGAGAAAAAACACGTTTCTTGTTTTGGAACGTGAGCTCATGTGTTCCTGCAGAAACTTAAACAGCCTCATAAACAAGACCTCAATGTCCTCCTAGTGATAACAAGACTTGGAATAGCTGCACCCATACATCACCAGGAAAAGGGTTGGACCAGCAGACAGTGGAATGACGTGATCCCACCTTAGACTCAAAGTAACGTGAGGTACAAACTCAGAGACCATGTGGGTGGTCTATAGTTTAAGGTCTATTTTGACTTTGACGCTCAGAGGGTCTCACACAGTAATATTGACTCAACCAGTACTGAAACTGTATAGTTCCTTTTATTGGATCTGTTACATACGCTGCCTCCATGACACACAGTGTCAACGCGACGCTCTGCTCTCCTCACATTCCTGCGTACGTTCAATCATCAAGACGGGGGAGGAGGAGGCTGAGGGGTGAGGCGGGACAGTAGGGTCATAGGGAGGAATGAAGGGAGAGAAACGAAGAAGAGGTGAAGAAAGGGAAAGGGTGAGGAGAGAAAACGGTGGGGAGGAAACAGGGAGTCGGTGTAGATGTGAAGGTTGGGAAGAAGTCAAACATCTCTTTGTTGATCTTCTTTTTAACGGCGTGTGTTATTTCACTTTTTTGTCTCCGAGGAATGTTTTTGATGATTACAGCATGTTACGTAAGCATGTAAGGGTTTCACACACACACACACACTCACACACACATATATGCTAGACCCTGTACTGGCTGGTACTGGAATGATTAGAGCAGGTTAGCCCAGGGTATAAATCCAGTGAATCCAGGGAGGAGT